CTTGAGCTGCCCAAGTGGCCACACCTCAGGGAAGAAGTTCTCCTGGAGGGCTTGGCCTCAGCGTTGACTTCTTCTTCCAAAGTTCCTGAGCTTCAAACTGTAAATCTTCCTGGGAGCAGAGAGTCTCATCTTTCTACACACACAGACACACACACACACACACACACACACACACACACACACTCAGTCCCACATGCGCGTGTGTGCAAAGACTGTCATGCCTTTGTTTGACCTGTTTCATTCCTTTGGGAAGGAGGGTGGCGAGGGGTGATGGTTCCCATTTTAGAGTGGGGTAAACTAAGCGTGGAGGAAAGGGGTGACTCATTCAGAGCCCGTGGCAGTGGGGCAGGCAGTGCAGGAATGGGCAGAGCCACCCTAGAGAAGAAGGAAGCTCCTGCCCCAGTCATGAGGTGAGGCCCCTCTGGGTTTCCCATGGCTGCCCTGGGACCCATCTTCCCTCTGGCTGGGGACTGACAGACAGCAAGATGTAAGCTCCTCCCTGGGGCATCACAGGAGCACAAGAGGTAAGACCCTTGGACCCTTTGTGCCTGTTTGCTGGGATCTTAGCACCCACCCCTCTGCTCTTCTAGGTCGGGGGCTCAGTGGTGCCATCCTTGGAAGGGTGCTGCCGGACATGTAAGGATGCGCGTTCGAAGCCAGGGCTGGGGCCATGGTGGGGATGAGGCTTGGTGAGGTGGGCCAGCTTCCTGGCACAGCACCTTCAAATGTGGCTCTTCAGGGGTGATCCTGCTACCAGGCTCAGACATGGGTCAAACACATAGGCAGGCAGGGGCCACGCTCTTGTCCCTGTCCCAACACAAGACCCTGCTTCCTATTGGAGACAGGGCAGTGGGATCAGGAGGTCAGTCACTCACCAGATACCCCATGGGAAGCCCCTCCTGTGGTCAGGAGCCCTGCTCTTGCCTTGTGCCGGGAATGGGGGGTGTTTCAGCCTGTTGGTCCCCATGGAGTCCAAGTGTAAGAGGTCTGAGACTGCCTGACACCCCGGCTCCCCGGTCCCTGTAACCTGAGCGCCTGCAGCCCTGAGCACACACACAGATCCAGAGCAGCGTTGAGACTGCTTCCCAAAGCCCTCCAGAGCCCTCCATGCCCCTCCGGGGAGGGCTGTAGAGTTGGGGACCCTTTTATGTCCTGCCACACCCTCCAGGAAAGTTGATCTCTGACCCACAGGCCTTATGCTCCCTGAATTCCTCCTGTGCTCCTGTGTGACCTATGACCCATGTCCCCTCTCCCCAGGTTCCCCGGGGACTCTGTTTCCCATGGTCCCCATTAGCCCCGCCTATCCTCCACGGGTTAGTGCCCACTGCCACCCAGGTACTCCTCTCAGAAGCCCGTGCGCGGGTCTGCAGGCAGGCAGCTGCATTGCTATTTCCAACAGTGTTCCTTCTGCTAGGTGGGGGCAGGGCAGGGGCGGGCGGCACCCCCATACCCTCCCTCTGGTGAAGGCAGTCGGTCAGCCATCCGCCACCCGTGCATGCTGAGTAGGAGCTGCCTCCCGGCCTTGCATGTGTCTGCTTCCGCAGCACCCACTTCCCTGGTCACTCAGCCTGTCACAGTGCAGGGCCCAGAGGGTGCCTCCTGGGAGTATAGAGGAGGCCGCAGTAGTCACGGCTCTGCCCAGGAGTACTCCAGTCTAGGCTCAGGGGGCAGAAGAAAGGATGCAACACTGTTCCCAGCGGGCACCCGGGCTTACAGAGGCCACACAGCTGGCAGGTGTTTTTTGAACACCAGCCCCGAGCGAGGGACAGGTGTAGGTTTGTAGGCGCAGCAGTGACATGGCGGACAGAGACCCTGGTCCTCGTGAGCCAACTTCTGAGCAGACCAAACAAGTACAACACATATGTGGATGCGTCAAACTTGGGGAGCCTGAAGCGTATCCAATTTGGGGGTACCCTGATTAAGGAAGCGAACATATCATTATAGATCCAAGTATAGATGTGACTGTGGGTATTTCTTGGGATTGAAGAAAGAAATGACTACCCGTGGGGGAGGGAACGTGGTGTGCTTTCTAGAAGGGCTCTAAGCTTCACGCAGCTGGTCGCGGGCGACCCTCTGCTGGGCTGATGAGTGCACTGGATAAAGTAAAGCTTTGGGTCCAAAATGCAGGGAGCACTGAGTGGAGACAGAAGAGAGGTGGCATTTTTCAAGAGGGGAGATCAAAAGAGGCCTCACTGAGACGTTGGAGCAAAGAGCTGTGGGGAGTGGGTTTGAGGGTCACAGTGATAGACAGAGGACACCGCAGATGCACGTGTGCCCAGGTGGTGCCAGCCGTTCATACGCTCTGCCACCAACCCTCAGGCTGGAGCTCTGTGTCCATCTGGGGGAGCCTCGGATAACGGATCGGGTGACCTCTTACAGAAAGATCGGCTGCTGGAAATGCTGGCACACATGGGAGGCCACGGCTAGGAGTCAGCTCTGGGACAGGTAGTGACAGCTCTGGGCGAGAGCAGAACCCTTGACCCCAGTTACACAGATAACCTGCTATGGACAAGCAGTGGCCTAGGCACTGGGATTTCCCACTCCTTCTGGGAAACGACAAGCTCCTGATTCTAGAAGCCTGCTCAGAGTAGGAGCTCTGAAGCTCAGACAGGGCCGAGGACATGGCCAGGCTCAACAACAGGGCTTAGAGACCGGTGTCAGAGCTGGGGTGAGTGGCAGACTGTCCCTGTCTCCAAACCCGCCTCTGCCCTGCACCGAGACCCGGAGGCCAGCTCCAGCTGCCACCCCAGGCGTCTTCAGCCTCACCCGCTGCCAATGCTCCCTTGGACTCCCATCTTGTGGGGTGTGTGGGTTAAAGGCTTTCCCTTGATAAGGTGGGGTACTAACGCTGGAAGAGGGTCCTCCAGCACGGCACTAACTGCCCCAGTCTAGCCCGTCCTGCTGCCCCCCAGGGAACACAGCTGGGCCATGGCCGCCTCACCCTCCCTATGCCCCCAGGTAAGGAAGATGGGCGCTCCTGCAAGAAGGTGACCATCCGCATGACCATCCGCAAGAACGATTGCAGGAGCAACACCCCTGTGCGTGGCACCAGCGTCACGGTGGGGGCCGGGGCTGGGGAGGGGGCCACAGCTGTAATGCAGGGTGCTGGGGGCAAGGGCGCTTTGCAGGCTGCCTCACTGGCCCTCCCGCCCCCAGGTGAACCTAGTGTCCTGCGATGGGAGGTGCCCGTCTGCCAGCATCTACAACTACAACATCAATACCTACGCCCGCTTCTGCAAGTGCTGCCGTGAGGTGGGCCTGCAGCGGCGCACCGTGCAGCTCTTCTGCGCCACCAACTCCACCTGGGTGCCTTACACCGTGCAGGAGCCCACCGACTGCGCCTGCCAGTGGTCCTGAGGCCTGCGGGCCAGGCCGGGCTGGGTCATCTCTGCCACTGCTGCTCCAGCTGGCCCAGCCTGTGTGTGTTTGCAGGGGGGCGGGGGCGGGGGCGAAAGGGGGGTGCGTTAAGGGTGGTGGAGAGCTGATGTGTGCTGAGCATGGGCTGGTGGGCAGAGGCACACAGAACACCCAGAAAGGGCCACACCTGCCCTTCCTGGGTCCTTCTCTGCCACCCCCCCACCCCCCACGCACACCGCTGATGGTTCAAGACCTCAACTCCACAGCTGGCTCGAGGTCAGGATATGAACCTGCGCAGTCTGTGGGGTGGACTATTATCATTTGGTGGAGGAGGCAAAAGCTTCCAAGAGCCGATGGGGCCAGACCCCCAGACCACAGACCCCCAGACCACAGACCCCCAGACCAAGTGCAGGGTCAGGACACAGGGCCGGTTCTCTTCTTTGGCCTTTCTGACAGTGGAAGGAAGGGGTGCTTTAATGGCAACCCCCAGACTTGTGTACAGATGCCCAGAAGGATTTCCCAGAAGTCAGATGGTGGGGTTCCTGGGCCCAGGTCATCTCACCCAGGTCTGTGAGGTCAGGCTGGGGTCTACTGCTTCTTTTCAGACACCGAGTGGCCTTGGTGACCTGAACGCCTCCTGTAGCCCCTGCAGCTGGGGAGATGTTGTTATTGACATTGCAATTTCAGACAGGATTTAGGGGAGCAAAATGACCTCTCTCCAGAAAGCCTGCCTCCCAGAGGCAGGGTGGGGGTGGGGTGGCTGACTCCTGTGATGGAGGAGTAACCCCCCCTTGAGTGTCCAGTAAGATTCATCTCCTAGGTTAATGGAGAAACCCACCTCACCAAGGGCACTAGACTGGCTTAATGGGTACCTTCGCCTCCCAGTGGCCTTGTAAATTGCCTTTCCTCCAACGTCACAGCAGGGCTGTCCCTGAAGGGCTATGCCAGGCTCTCAGCTCCATGGACTGTTAAGCAAGAGAGCAGAGCGTGTGTTGATGGCAATTGAGCCTTGTGTCTGAACCAATGTCCTCCCTAAGGTCAGGGCCAGAGTCCCCTCTGCATGCCCTACCCATGACCTTCTGTGCCTCTGGACAACCCCCCAGGATGGGTCCCAGGTTGTTCCCAGGCTCTCGCACCGTTCTGTGAGTCTGGGGGCCTGTGGCAGCCCTCGAGCCGCTGGGGGTGAGGGAGCGATGCCAGGATGGTCCTCCAGGCTCTGTGCCCCTCTCCCGGTGTTCTGTCTATGCATCCAATAAACCATGGGAAGCCGTTGGGCCTCTTAGCACCTCTGCCAGTGTCAGGTTTGCTTTGACCGTCATGCCAGCTGTGGAGAGAAGACTTCATTTCATGACCCTGGCAGGGACCCTATGCCCAGCATGATAGCCTACATGGTTCAGCGAAGGCCCCTCACATTGGAACTGAACTGATGGGGAGCTGCCGAGTGGTGCACCCAAGTGAAGGGTCCAAGGAGTGGCTCCCGCTCATTGGGTCTGGGCTGCATGCCCCTCACGCAGGATGTGGGTGGGACAGGCCCTGAGAGCAATTACTTGCTGATCTCCCAGTGTTACTGTGTTCATGTCCTCATTCCCCAATGAAAGTATCTTTCTGCATTCTCCGTTTCAAAGGGTGTCCCCAGGCTCTCAGACAGTCAGTGCTGGCAGTCATGTCAGTCGACAGTAGGTACTGTCCGCTGTGTTGGGGTTATCCGGGACTCGGGGAGGGGGGTTCTTTCAGACCCACGGGCACAACTAATGGGGACAAAGGAGCTGCTTTCCTAGGCCGCCCCTAGGTGGGGTGGAGTGAGTCTGAGCTGGTGCTTAAGGAACAAGAGCACCGGTTCCGCTGGAGAACATTCTTTTGAAGTGGCAATCTGGAAGTTACGATACGTTTCTTCTCACAATTCAGCCTCTTCCCTTCCTGCTAGTATGACACCCCCCCCCACCTGCACCAGGACTGCCATCTTCTGATAAGAAAGGAGTTTTACAGCCTTCTATGCAGCACACATCTACATCAGCAATAGGTCAAAGAAGAAAACAGAACAGAAGTTACTCCATATTTTTACTCCCATGGTCAGGGAACATTGGCACAGGGAACTTGTGAGTTGCTTCTACAGCCTAAAGCCAAACTCACTGCTGTCTGACGGATGCCAATTCATAGCAGTAACCCTAGAGGGCAGGGTAAAACTGCGCCTCTGAGTTTCCAAGACCGGCAGGCTTTACAGAAGTGGACTGCCACATCTTTCTTCTGCTGAGCAGCTGATGAACTTGAACTGCCGACCTTGAGGTTCGCAACCCAGCACTTGACCCACTGCACACCACCAGCCCCCCAAGCAATACTTCAAGGGGCATTTCTATCCTTAAATGCAGACTTCGTGCTCTTCATGTCCCATTGACAGGGCCGAAGAGGGGGTAGGACAGGCTTCCAGATGTCAATGCCAACCCCTAGCAAGCCTACAGGACAGGGTAGAACTGCCCTTGTGAGTTTCTGAGACGGGCACTGCAAACCGGAGTAGAAACCCCCATGTTTTCCATGGAGCGGCTAGTGGTTTCGAATTACAGACCTAACAGATGGAAGCCCAACGCAGACCCACTGCACCACCGGGGCTCCTCTGTCTGATGAAGACCAGTGAGTTGTAAGGAAGCATCTCGTTAGCCGTAACACACTCCCTGTATCACCTAGAAGTAGTTTTCACAGAAAATTTTGAATCCTAAGCTCAGCAGAGCATGACTTTACATATACCTTTAAAGAGAACGGAAGTGAAATCTGGATTCTATTATACAGCATAAGGTGGTCCCTCAGGCACCGCTGGAATCCCAGTATTCCTGGCTAGTCATCCTCCCCCTGTCCTCTACGCCCATCCATTCATGCCCAGGTCTGAGAAGACAGCTTCCGCATCAGCTGTTGTGTAGCTAGACAGAGGCACAAGGCCTCCAATCAAACCAGTCAGCCCTTGCCTCCACGTCTTTCTGTGGTCTCCATTTAAAAAGGTGTTGTCAGGCTCTCAGACACCTGCTTCCCGATTCAGCCTCTTCCTGTTCTCGTTGGGGTTGAGTTGGTTCTAAGTCATAGCAACCCCCATCGAGTTTTTCTTGGCTGTAATCTTAGCGGAAGGAGGGCTGGTGGTGAAGCACTGAACTACTAACTGAGAGGTGGATGGTCTGAACCCTCCCAGTGACTTGAACCCAACCCAACCTACCCAGAGGGCCTGGGGGACAAAGAGCAGGTGATTTGCTTCCATAAAGAGAATAGCCGAGAAAACCAGGTGGGGCAGTTCTACTCTGCCACATGGCGATGCTATGAGTTGAACCTGACAGCACCACATACAACAAATCTTCATGGAAGTGGATTGCCAGCAATTCGTTCATGTTACCCCTGGGTGGGTTTCAGCTACCAACCTTCAGTTTAATCAACCCAGAAAGCAGCCCCACTGCCTGGAGTTGATTCTGACTTACAGAGGCCCTATGTGGGGTTTCTGAGACTGAAAATCTTTACTGGAGCAGACAGCCTCAGCTCTCTTCCACGGGTGGGTTTGAACCACCAACCAACACCTGAGCCTTAGCACCACCAGTGCGAATAGGGGCATGCAAACCATCACTATCTCTTAGGGACTCACTTTGGGTGACCTGGTCCTCTCTTGCTCCATGGGCTCCAGTCCCTCACCAGCCCCACCCCCACCATCTACCCACAGGTGGCTAGAGTTCCTGATGAGGACACCCCGTTGCTGGAATCCCAGTGTTGTTGGATGTTCATCTTCCACCTCACCTCCATTCCCACTCAGGCATCTCCTCCTCCTTGCTCTTCCTGAAAGTCAACCTCACACCAACCCTTTGGCTCAAATGGCCAATCCCATCCCTTCATTTCTCACCACCTCTTGAAAGCTATGGCACTGGAAAGAGAGGTTAACAAGGAAGATGCAAATTACCAATCAGTAGGAGACCCTGCTCTGCACTTCAGGGAAGACAGGACAGGGTGAGGATTTGAAACATTAATCACTATTTCCCAGTTTCCTTCCCCAAAAGCCAATACCAATAGCATTAATCTGAATACTTGTTGGGACAATTTGGATGCATTGATTTAAGTGAAAAAATACATGCATGCTTGGACCGAGCTATCCTATGTGTAAGCATCTGTGGTGCAGAATACTGACACCCCCCCCCCCAAATATCATGCCTGAATCCCTGGAACCTATGAATATATTACCTTACGTGGTTAAAGGGATTTCACAGATGTGACTAAATTAAGAGTCTGAGATGGGGAGATTACCCTGCATGACCTGGTGGGCCCAATGCACCCTCCAGGTCTTTATAAGAGTGAGGTGGTGGGGGGGCTCGGAGTTAGAGAAAAGAGTTGTGAGGATGGAAGATAGGTTTGGAGTGGTGCCCTTTGAAGATGCTGGAAGACACCAGGAGCCAAGGAATGCAGGAGGCCTCCCTCCGAGCAGCTGGGAAAGGTAAGGGAACACAGGAAGGCAGCCTTACCGCTCTTTTGAGTAATCCAGTGAAACTCAAGTCAGACTTCTCACTTCCAAAACTATTGGGTGGGGGGATGAGGGTGGGGATGAGGGGACAGAGGTACCCACACAACAACTGTGCTAAGTGGTTGAGTGTTTGGTAATTGATTAGAGCAGCTACATGAAAGCCATGGCGCATCTAAAGAAATGGTTCTTATCAACAAGCACGTGCCAGGATGTTGACTGCAGACAAGCGGCATTGGTACCAACTTTAAGTTATCAGTAGGTAAAGGCTAAATTGCCTGGAACGATCGTATCATTGACATCAGGTGGTCTCTTCCAGATATGTTCAATGAATAAAAGATGTTGTGGGTGAGATCTCACAGGATGACTCACCTCCCCAACGTGCTTGTGTGGAGCATGCATGCATGTGCGTGCGCGCGCGCGCGCGCGCACACACACACACACATTTCTACGTAGGTCTCATTTCCTAGAAAGACCTTCAGGACTAAAGAGGCCCTTCCTGGTGTCGGGCCAGCTAGCTGGGTGG